CTTTGAGGTCTCTTCCAACCATAATGATTCTATGATTCTATGATTCTGTGATACACATTTTGGTATTCAGTTGCTTATTTTATGCATGTCCCAACATTTTCACTTCCATATTTAAGTGTTAGAGTTATACTAACTCTGCATTACACTATACTCATATGCCATAACAGTTTTGTGTCAAAACCAATCTCATTAAATTTTCTGTGTTAAATGACTCTCCATTGTTTCCTTATTTGTGCCTCCCGGCTTTTGGTGTTCTTTCAATGTTCTCTTCTGCTGTGAGAAGTATTTGTAAAGTATGAATAAGTTTATTAAGGAAACTGGAGGGAAAGGTTTATTAGATATACCAGTTTCTTTATAACTAAACATGTATTGCAGATAGTGGAAGGTTCCCCAAAGATACACCTCATATTTGGCAATTAGATTTCCAGATGCCAAAGTAGAAGGTTCTTGGTCAAAATTCAAAATTTCTGTTTGTGTGGGTAAGTCCAATATTCCACAAAGTTGCTTTAACGGTGCCCCCCCAGCCCGCCAATAGTCTCGAACACTGGAAAATTTCAAATGAGTAATGGAAGAATGACCATGTTATCTCCTTTTTTATTAGAAAAGGAAAAAACCCCAGCCCTCCAACAGCATCTAATGCAGCAACAAAAAGCAAAAGCTACAATGTCTGTCACCTGAAGGAACTGAGATGGGCTGGATCTGAAATGTTTAGTAGCATTTTCAGAAGATCTCACATCGTAGCTCCAGCTGTGCGTAAGAAACTATACTTGTCATAGACACTGAGGTTCAAAGACAAGGGGATAACATGACCAAATACAGCCAACTCATGACAGCAAATAAAACAAAAAAGAACTGAATCCTACCGGGCCCCACGCCTGGTTAATCCACCGCGTACAAGGTTGCCTGTTACATGATGCAATGGCATTAGGTCTTTTTGTCCAGTCACAGTAGCCGCCTTCTGGGCAGTATATATGTCGCTTTTGCTGGCCACCACCACACGTTCTTGAACACTAAACAAAAGAGGTGCACAAACCCATGAGGAAAGAGGTGGGAGTGGATGATAACCCAGAAACAGACCATAAAGACAGTAGGAAATGTTCTTCATTTAGAAATGTGGAGCCACAGGTAACAAGAAGCATGTTACTGACCCATGTGATTTAGAAAGATATACAGGCTAGCCTGCATATCGAGCCTTACAGTCCAGATATGAAGAAAAGCTCTGCACTGAGACATTTATTTCATCATATGCCTGGAAAAAGACAAGGAAGAAGCCATTATTGATCCAAAATACTTGGGGGAAAGCTGTTCCTGACACATATTAATGCAAGGAATGTAGGACAGCATGGAAGTGGCAACATAGAACAGGCGACATAGAACTGCTCATGCACCAGCAACAGCATCTTTTCTAACAAGAATGAGATTGGAAGTCACATGTCTGCAGGATTAATCTGTAATATTTACTGAAGACAGTACAAGTTCATGAGATGCAGCATCTCATTTTTATGAGGCGGCTGGGGACATTAAAATTCACCCAATCTATACAATAAATTAACTATTGGTCAATAAAAGCGTCATACAAAGACAGTGACCCAGGTTATTTTTTAAACATTCTTTTGTCCACATTCTAGTATTACTTACCAACTGATTTTTTACTATTATTCACTAGGTCTGCAGTGGAGCTTGCTTGAAATACACAAAAAAATTCATACTCTGACATGAAATACAGCGCCAGATATACTTTGAATAATGCATTGTTTCTGTCCTACAAGGAACTGCATTCCTATGAACAGAGGACCAGAGCTGACATCTGATGAATGAACCTTTTAAATCCAATTCTATCCAGTATCCTTACCATTAGGACAACTGCCAGGGTTGGACAAGTATTTTATAAAATACTTCAAGTGGCAAATGGGTGCAATCATTTGGCTACTCTTATTTTTTCAATCCTTGCTGACTCCTCTCACAGGAAACCCACATCCTGGTCTCCTCTTTATTGTAGGTGGGATTTGCCTGTAAGGAAGCAATGTGATCACCTCCCTTGAAATCCGACAGCACCAGGTCCACAGTGCCGCAAACACTGTGGTGCTTTCTCCAAAGCTGCTTTCAGTGGGAATAACACTAAAATGTAATCAGACCACATGCTTCAGCTGACATAAATATGTGCCTGGCTGCCTATGAGTTTCTTGGCTCAAATTTACATTACAAAGTACCCCAAAAGTCATATTTATCTTATGTCTGACCTCAGCCTCTAGCCCCATAAAATTTCAGCCCAGAAGTGTAAAGGAAAATGCTAAATTAATCATAATGAGAAAGCAACATTAAAATGGCAGCAAAAGGGTTCAGTCTGAACGAATGACCTTTGCTGATCCAGTAAGATAGCTAAAACAAATCTTCTCTCAGGCCATCTGCTTCTCTCTTTCAGGGTATGGTAATTTACAGCTCTAGCTGTGCATCACATGCAATCCTAAGAATGATTCTGGGAAGTCTTATGAAAGTCTATGATAATTTTTGCTGTAACCATACACAAGGACTGCAGGGCCTCTGAGTGGTACTAGCTGTGTGTCTTCCTTTGAGCGAAAGTTTAGCTAACAGCAAGGGATCTAATAGTTACTGTTAATGGACAGGTAATTGATTGTTCCCAAAGCTTCTTTTAAAGAACAATACCTCATTCCAGGGCTCCACATGCCACTGCAAGCAAGGCTCCGTGTTACAACTAGTGTTGAGTTGTGGTTTATATCCGAGTAATTGGCAATGAAAAGGCCTGAGAAGTCGCTTTTCACGAACATCAATGCAGTGAACATCTCGGGTCTTGAAACCGCCGTTGCAGTTAGCAGAGCACTGTACACAAAATAGAAAGGGGCACATCTCCAAATGATGTTCTGTTGAGGGGCTGTCCCTTCCCCAGTCACAGAGGAGGACAGCCTGAGCTTTGAGCATCCTGACTCACAGAGGGAATTTCCAGTTTACCATAACAACAATCTGTTGTTAGACTTTAGCACTGTGTCATCATAGCAAATCAGAACACGTCATATAAATACTTCCTTTTCTTCACTGCAATATCCATTAATAACATGGATGCATATTTATTTAGGAAATCTTGCCAGCTATTTCCAAAAATGTCATAGTGAAAGAGTCGTAACGCAATAAATACAAAAAATGAATCCTGTATGCAGGGAAATTGTCAGTTTTTTAGTTGTTTCTGAGGGAGAAAGGGAGGAAAGAGGCAGAGGTGCGTGAGATGATTTCTTGTTCAGCCATGGAAGAGGTAGGTGTCCATGGCAGCAGACTGCTCAGGCTGGCAAAACTGCTCCTCGTCTTAGCCCATAGACTTGAGTTGCTGCTGACACCACTGGGAGACAGCAGACTCATCCCACAGCAGCAGTTCCCACCTTGCTCCTCCGTGGCACCAGGAGGATCCATACCCCAGGAGCAGCCTGGGCGTGACAGAATGGGAGAGAAGACAGAGACACTCTGAGCCTCACTCACAGCCTGTGAAATCGCTTCTCAGCTCGGAGCACTACTGGTGAGCCAAAACAGCCCTTCCAGTCCCCTACTTCACCCCAGAGCTTGCTCCAAGGCCTCATGCAGCAGCACCAGGTTCTGTCCCCAGATACCAAAGCCCAGGACCTCTTCTGCTGCTGAGGAAGAACTGAATTTACTGCCCCAAGGATAAGGACTAATACACGTTTTTTGTCTTCATCCAGAATTAAAGCCAATTCCACCTACATCACTGAATAACCTCAGAGATCAGCTTTCATCTTTATCGCCATGATGCAATATAAAAACTGATGCTGTTCTCTGTTGCATAAATAAGAATTCTTCAGTTGAACAAGGAACCTGAATATAATACTTGCCCTGGGAGCTGAAGGATGGATGGAAGGGGAATCCATACTCTTGTTCACATAAGTTTCTGTCCCTCTGGATAGAAACAATGGACAGAAGTGACTGTGCAAGAAACTGAGTAAGCACAGCCCCAAAATATGTGCAAATTATATTTGGTATTAAACTCAGACTGTAAGATCTAGTCTGAAGCACCTTTCTTTCAGTGGAGGAGAAGAATTAGGTGAGAGTAAAGGAACAGAGAAAGCTCTACTACACTAGCAGAGGAATATAGCAATCTTGGTGTGATAAGGTGCCTTAACACAACAGAAGTTTGCTAAGAAAAGCCTTTTGTCTCAAACTGGCCTCATAATTGGACTGATACTTTAAAACACTTGTTTCCCATAATAGTTTATCATTAAACATGATTTCTAGCTACTTTCTGTGACATAACTATCATCCACTTGTTGCAAGAGCAGTAACATTTATGAAGAAAAAGTGAAGGTGAAATAAGCCCTACCACTGGGACTGCAGGATATCTATGTATCATTTAAAATGAATTTCGAAGGCTTAAATGTGGTTCTGTAATGTCATGGCCTTTCCTAGACTTTTGAAACAGGCACGTATTTTCATGTACAAATCAAGTTTACGTCAAAAAGCTCAACAGTATAACACAGGTTTTCTAACTCTAACCTTTTCTTTGTATGAATCCGCCCTCTAGTCCAATGGCAACATTGTCCACAAAAATGATACATATTGAGAAAGTCTGAGAGATCTACCTTTTTCTTTATTGAATCAACTTTATTTCAAACTGAATTTTGTATTCTTTCTCTTTTGAGTGTTGAAAAATAACCCACTGTTTGAAGCCCCAATTTTAGACAGTGTGAAGACAAAATGTAACCAGCTTCAAGAAGTCACTGAAGTTCTTCCAGGTGTTCATCACACATTTTACAAGACCAAAAAAGAACTCAAACACAGTTCCTTGGGTTCCACTTACCACCTTGGATGCTCTTCTGTCTCTTGACCAAATAAGACCCTAGCCATAACAGACATTCTCCCCATTATATTTTTCTTTATTTTTTGTAATATAAAACTTAGACGTTACATGAATGGGGAACAGACCATGTCACATAGGAGAAAATACACGGTGGCAAAGGTGAACAGGAACATGCCAGCTCCCTCTCCCAAATTCCAACTTGCTTTTTAAAATTAGGATACGCCTCTGGAGGCAGAGATCAAAAAGATGCCACATGCAAATATGTACAGCTTTGCCCTAGATCTCCACAGACCACAAATGGTAAGCCCTGCTTTAGCTCTAGATGCAAGGGTTAATAAGCACGACACCCCAAACAGGAAGAACAGAATTCACAGCAGATGCGTTTCCATAAATAACTTAGGAAATTATTAAATTAGTGCTGAATGGTCAACTGGGAATCATGTATCCATTCACTGAGTAAATAATTGTTTTAAAAATGAAGTATTTAGAACTCCCTACTCTTTGAAGTTAGCAAGCTTACTATTCACACACAGCTCTGAATGAAGTTACCTTGCTCCAGTTTCCTGTTTTCCAGCTAGCACATGGGCGGAGATAACATTTTCTTGCAGGATCAGGCTTTTTCTTGTGCTGACAGTGAGATGCGTTCCTGCTGCTGCACTCCACGTGTCTCCAGAAAGCCCCCATTCCACAGGTGGTAGAGCACTGCGCAAAGGTGAGAGGAAAGCCCAGAGACAAACTCAACATTAGTAAATCATTCTGGAAACAATGCAGGAACCTAAATACAGATATTTAGAATCCTTTTAGATGACCTAGGTTATCTGAGTTACTCAAAAGAAGAATTCAAATTCACCTAAGTCTTACTTAAGGTTCTGAAGGAGGGCTTTTTGTTGCTTTGTTAAGAAAATAGCAATTCTGATTTATACCATGTACTGCTCTTCTTTGGCAAACTCCTGCTTACTGAGACATTCTAAATCTGTACCAGCTGTTCCACTGTTTCCTTCTGTTATCTTTGGGGGATCCAAGGTAAAATGTCATTGCATCCCATCTTCAGCACTGTTCCCTCTCTATCCCTAATACTGCTGATGAGATATTCAGCAAATTGAGTGCATGACGCTGAAAATCTGAAATAAATTGTGTGAGACTCTTGGGAAAACTGCAGGAAAAGAGTTTTTGAAATTAGGAATTCAGAGAGTGGCTAAGTGTTTCCAATATTTGGGAGGGTTTTGGTGTCTGATGTAAGAGAATATTGATCATGCCAGTCCAGATCCCAAGACTGCACACTCTTCACGAAAAAAGTCACGATCATTGTATTCTGAAGCAGAAAGGGGTGAAAAGTGGCTGGAGACACCCTGGAGATACCCGTTTACCTTCTTCTCCCTTAAAAAGGGTGGGACAGTGAACTATACACATAGAGTCAAATTCAACAAATGCCAAGCAGCCTGAAAAGAGCAACTGCTATTGTGTGGTTTGAACTCCTTACACCAAAGCGGAAGAGTTACACAGGGAAAGCTTAGTAAGTGTCCTTGGAAAGAAAAGGAAAGCTAAGCTGAAGCTAAGGCAGGGACAAAAAAACCCATTGAAGACACGGAGCTTTTACCAGATTCAATCAGAGAAATGGAAAAATGGTTAATGGTCACAACAAAGATTTTGGAAAAAATTGCACATTATGAAGACTGTGAATCTGCGAGGCCTCTGCAGCATCCCACCTCCAGCTTCTGAGATTCCTGGGACATCTGTCCAAGAGGCCACAAAGATCCTGCTAAAGGGCACTGCATACCACTGTTCAGTTTTGCATAGTCACATATCTATCCAAGACAACTTGTCTGCTCAAGAGGATGGACTGTCCTTGTCTTGGCTGCTGACTGTTTGACGGCTCCCCCCAGCCCTGCTATACAAGTCTGACAACACCAAGACTTCACTGAAGGGCTGCTTAGTCTTTGACTGAAGCCCCATTCTAAGCATTCATGAGAAGACCACAGACAGCTCCAGGGATGATGCTGGACAGATCATACTTATAAAGCTTTATGTTCTTGTCTGAGGGAGGTGAAACACAGCAGGATTCTTTAAAAATTGTGTGTAGGTACAGAGCCAAGAGAGAAAGGCATGATGCTGCAAACAGTCCTGGGAGAAAGCTTTATCTTTCTTGACCATTGTTTCATGTTACATAAAGGAGTCCAATTGCTCTGAAGTTCAGAAAGACTTACTGCTTTTCCCTTTTGTCATTCAGGAACCAAGGCTTCCTCTTGCAACAGTAGATGTCTATTACAGAGGGAGGAAGTGCAGGTGACTTTTCATGACCAATAACAGAGGTGCAGAATAAGCAGATCTGGTGGGAATCAGGTATCTTTGGTACCCAGAAAGCTCTTAGAAAGCGCAAAGTGACAGCCCAGAATGATCTGGGGAAGTAGCAGGAAAGAAGTTAGAAGTTACAGACAGAAGCACCAGTGTCACTGGGCACTGTTTTGCCCTACTGTAATTAGCGCTCTCCCTTACGAGGTAAGTGCCAACACTCCAACACTGTTATGGGACATGTCACACCATTCCATCTCAATGACTATCACTATTCTTGGGCACTATATATTTAGTAGTGTGGACATACCTTAAGGAGCAAAGAAATGTCACAATATTGGCAGTTACTAAAAGCGAAAGAGAGAGATAGCAAGAGATTCATCTAGGTAGATGTGGTTGTCTTGAAATATCAATGCCCTGGAGAGATCTCATCTAAAAATAGGCATGGTTTTATGAAGGACAGGTAAATAGAAAGAGCAAAAATAAAGTCAGAAAATTGTAGACTAAAAATGAATTCAATGTAATAAACAATAAGGAAAGGTTCTGCGAATGTTAGAATCAAGATGTGTGGCGAAAATACAAAACTTCTATTTCACAAGAAAGCTAATAGCTGACTTATTTACAGCATCACAGAATGGTTGAGGTTGGAAAAGACATGTCATTCGGATGTCATCTTGTCCAACCTCTGGCTCAAGCAGGGCCACCTAGAGCTAGCTGCCCAGGACCATGTCCAGAAGGCATCAGAATATCTCCAAGGATGGAGATTC